ATATATTTATATTTTATTGTGATGTCTATTTTGTCATGATGCAACCTACTCACATTGCCTTTGCGATCTGCCGGTCAATAGCGATCTAGATCGTGCTTTACGCATTGAGCACCCCTGCCTTAGACCTACGAGAACCCTTAGATCTACAAAAATCTTTAGAACAACAAGAACCATTTTAAACTACATAAACTACGACAACCACAACAAACACGAGAATCTAGAATTACAAGAACCTTCAGAACTGTAGGGAATTTTAAGACCATGAGAACTTTTAGAAACACAAGAACCTTTAGAACAACAAGAACCATTGTAAACAACGTAAACCATGAGAACCAAAATGAACTTTTGCAAACACGAGAATCTAGAACTATGAGAACCTTCAGAACTACAAGAACCTTGTGGTCTCACCGTCAGAGGGACTTCCTGTGAGGTGCAGCCTGGTAGTACTCCTCTGGACTGACGGTCTTCACCCCCCCAAAATAATCCAACACCCACACCTGAAACACAGAAGAACTTGAACTTCCCGTCGCTCAGCAGGTGTTGCCAGAACCGCTGCTAGAACCGGAGGTTCTGGTACCTGGGTGATGTTGAACTTGGCGAAGAACCAGCTGTGGTCCACCGGCCAGTCGATCATCTCTGGGTGGCGGGTGAACAGAGCTTTCTTTGCAAACTCCGCCTCCGTGCCGTTTACCTGGACGCAGGGAGAGGAGGCGGGGTCAGGTAACACCTGGATACACAGGTGAGGACAGGTGAGGGCGTGTGGGTACCTCAAGCACAGATCCAGACAGGATGATGTGGGCGCAGAGTGGACTTTGAGGGTCGAAGCCCTGCTGCCGGCAGTAATCTGTCTGAGCCAGAGACATGGACAGAGACGCCTGAGGATTCACCTGCAGGGGGCGTGGCCAAGGACAGGTGAGTCATAAAACCGGTAAGGCATGTGGACACACAAAACACCAAACTGAGCTTATTAAAAGTAAATTATCACACAAGACAAAATTGGTGCAGCAGCGAACATAAAATAAACGTTATAATAAAAGTAAACAAATATATAATCACGACTTATAAAGGTGATTTATTTTTTATTTTTATTTATATCCAGAAATAAATATGTTCTCGCAGCTGATTTATTTTTGTGCTACTAAAAACAAACAACAAAAACTGCTTAGTCACGTCTGTAACTGAAGTCACGTGACGTGTTTTCGTTGTGACGCAGCAACTAATTATGTTTTACAGTAAACCTGCATCAAATGGACATTTTTAAAAACGACTTGTTTACAGAAGAAGCTTCCGGTACCTGCAGATCCTGGACCGAGATCTCCATGCGGGTCAGGTACATGTAGGGAACCCCGGTGCTGGTCCCGGGGGGTCCGTCGCTCACCGAGAACACGTTGGAGAACGGCTGACCCACCACCGGGCTGCGAGTGGATATGGTGGCCATGGAGGTCCAGTCGCACCGGTGCGCGATGAAGCGCGCGACCCGGGCCACCTGCTCGTGAGGCGGGATCCGGAACCGGCAGGCGGAGGAAGACGGGCCGAGGAGGAGGAAGAGGAGGACGAGCCGCAGAGAAGAGGACATAACGGTCGCGGTCTGTGTGTCTCTACTCGACAGAGCGAGCCGGAAAAGGAACGGAAGTAAACAAGCGGAGTTCCTGTGTGGCGTTTCAGAATAAAGGCACAATTTATTTTCGGAATAAAAGAGGTGACGATTTTCAGAGCAAATGTATGGAAGCCCGTTTCTGCCAATGATAAGGAATAAAACGTTCAATGGTATAAACTTCAACCTGTATATTTATTATATTATTATTTATATTTTATTATTTCTTGTGGCAGATTTTATTAAATTTCAAGAGGCATTTTTTAAGCAACATTTTATTTTGAAACTACCGGTACTTCAGACTGTAGTTTCCATTTAATGTACTTTTTTTTAATTCTCAAACTCTAGTAAGGAGTTGTTTACTTGGATGATTGAGCCTACAAAACTTCTTTTTGACAATAGATACAATTTTAATTTGTAAGATTTAGCCTTCATATCTTCAGTTTGACTCGGTTTACTACTTTACAAAACTTTTATTGTGGAAATTATTTTGTAATCCTACAAAAAAACACTTGCTGCATTTTATTTTTGTAATCCTTAGTCTGTATATTTATTTTTTTCACAGCTCCATGAATTATGGAGAGCCATGTCCTTCAAAATTAAATAAATAATTAATATTGGGAAGAAAAAAAAAACACCTTTTCTATTTAAATGTGTTTTTTTTTATTTTTATGGGAACAGTTATATATTTAATGGAATATTTATTAATAATTTTTAAATACTATTTATTTATTTAATTTGAATGAAATGGCTCCATAATGAATAGCTTTATTTTTAATCATTATAAGCGTTTTTTTTTAGCAAATGCTTTTCAAGTTAGTTATAATTTTTTTTAATTTTCCAGCCGCCATTGAAAAAAAACAAATTGTTCTATATTCAGTCATAATTTCGACTTTCAAAGTCAAAATTTTGACTTTGAAAGTCGAAATTATGACTGAACATTGGACATTTTGTTTTTCATTGGCAGAAACGGACTTCCACAAAAATTTGCGCAAGACAAAAAAATAAATAAATAAATAAAAAAAAACGATGCTGCAGAAGAGGATGGAAGTCCAAAATATAAACTGCTGGAAAGTTTAAAAAAATTATAACTAACATGGAGAAGTTTGCTTAAAAATAAAGCTATTCATTATGGAGAGCCATTTCATTCAAATTAAATAAATAGTGTTTCCATTAAATAAAATATTTAAATAGAAAAGTTTTTTTTTTTTTCCCCAAGATAATTTAATTTTTTTTAATTTTGAATGAAATGGCTCTCCATAATTCATGGAGCTGTGAAAAAAAACAAAAACTAAGGATTACAAAAATAAAATGCAGCAAGTGTTTTTTTTGTAGGATTACAAAATAATTTTCACAATAAAAGTTTTGTAAAGTAGTAAACTGAGTCAAACTGAAAACATGAAGGCTAAATCTTACAAATTAAAGTTTTATCTATTATCAAAGCAACTCCTTACTAGAGTTTGAGAATTAAAAAAAAAAGCGCATTAAATGGAAACTACAGTCGGAAGTACCAGTAGTTTCAAAATAAAAGTTTGCTTTAAAAAAAAAAAAAACAGCCTCTTGAAATTTAATAAAAAGAAACAATAAAATATAAATAACAATATAATAAATATACAGACTGAAGTTTACAGTAAAATATTTTATTGCAAGTTTAATCTTAATATACAGTATTGTACTAGTTTCAAAATAAAAGAAATGGAACAAAACAAAAAAGTGGCACTAAGAAGACAAATATTTTCTAAATAAACATTTTATAAATACAAACGCCAAATCTTAATATTTTATTACAAAACTTTAGTAGAAAAATATGCAAACAAATTTACAAGAAGTATTAAAAAAAAAAAACTTGTGATAACTCAGGTGGTTTCCATGGTTACCGCACCTACAACATCACACACAACCGATGGGAAGCCACCCCTGGCAACAGTCGCTACGACAGAGACAGGGCGCTTCTTGTTTGTGCTCCGAGGCGGCGTGAGCGTCGGCGGCGTAGTTCCAGGTGAGCTCGGTGCCGGCCTTCACGACCCTGACGAAAAAAACAAAACGTAAATAAAACAACCTGCAGAATCCAGAGGCGCATGAACGCACCGCGGCATCCTCACCTGTCTGTGAAAAAGGCGATGACGGGGAAGGCCGGGTCGTGGGAGTCCGTGAAGACGTTCTGGATGAAAAGGTTCGGCTGGCAGCTGTGCTGTGGGCGGAGCCAAAAAGAAAAAAAAAATATAGTCTGGAAGACTTCGTCACTCAAACAAGGACAGCAGCTAAATGCTAGAATCGCTAACCAGTAGCTAAAAGCTAAAACAGCAGCTGAACGTGTTTTCCGTCCTGATTGTCTGACTTCAGACTGGACGGGGTTTGGACCTTTGGTTCTGGTCCACTCACGTTAATGAAGCGGCTCACGTTGCCCTCCTTGCTGGCGTCCACCAAACACACGTCCTCCACCTCCGCGGCTCGTTTTAAACTCCTCCGGACCTCCGTCTTCGACCCGCCCACTTCCTGTCCCTCCGTGGTGGCGGTAGCCTCCGCCTCTGGCGGGTCGCCTGACGAGAAACGTCCGACCGTTTGAGTTTGTCGAGAATCAAGAACGATAAAAATGTATTTAGATTTTAGAACCTGCTGATGGAGACGTCAAGTCTGGACCTCCGACCAGAACCGTCTGAACCTGAATAAACAACAAGAGACTAATTAAATAATAATAATAATTTAAAGATAAAACTGCATTTCTAGTGAAAGCATAACTTGAACGCTCATTTCTGAAGAAGCCGAAACAGTTGAAAGCCTCAAATAGCTGAATGTGAGCCAAAAAAATAAATGTAGCAACATGCTAGCAACAAAAGTTAGCTGATATTAGGCTAAAAAAGGCTGAAAACAGCAAAATGACAGCTGAAAGTAGCGAGATGTTAAATAAAAGCTAACGGTAACAAATGACAACCTAAAAATAGCAAAGAGTCGGAGTGGTGGCGCAGAGGTAAGAGAAGGTGATGGGAAGGTCGCTGGTTCAACTCCCCAGACATCAAAATGTGGGTGGAAACGGTAAAACACCCACACGACTCCACCCTCATTTGCCCAACTCTGGGCCCTTGAGCAAGGCACTTAACCATCTGCTCCCAAAACAGGTCTCTCATGAAAATGAGTCCTCGTGACTCAATGAGACTATCTTTATAAAGAAAGGGTAAATTAAATAAATATTTAAAAAAAATAGTAAAAAGCTAGCTAAATGTAGCAAAGACCAACGTCCTGTTTACACGACAACAAACTGTTTTTCAATGTTTATTTGTGGGTAATAAAGATGTCAGTCCCAGACATCTCTTTAAATAATTGAAGAGTTGTCGATGTATTTCTATCAGGTGGTGTGTGTGTGTGTGTGTGGGGGGGGTTAAAAATAAAGTTAAATATTTTGAAAAGTATACAAGTAAAAACAAAAAAAGATCAGAATCTTTTGATACACGAACAGCTAAAACAACACAAAGTATGTGGGGGTTAAAAAACAAAAACAGCTGAAGACAAGTGCTGACTCAGCGTTCACGCGAGAACTTTTCAGCTCTCGACTCCAACCTTCTCCTGGTCCTGAGGCGCAGCACCGGACTCGGCGGGTCTCTGGATCACCGCGACGTACAGAGGCGGTGAGGCTGAAGACAAAATGGGCGGGGGCGTCTCTACCAGGTTGCTCCGCCCCTCCAGCACCGGCGGGGCCAGCCACTCGGTGACCAGCTCCACCTCGTCGTCGGATGGAAGTTCGGCTGCGAACACCTTCGGAGGTGGCCGCTCGACTCGACTCTGGGCCCGCTGCAGGACCAAACCTGTCCGGGAAATCACTTTAAACACGAGGTCCGCCTGCCAGAATCGGGTCCATGGCGCCGAGCCTCACCTGCATAGATGCACACGAAGGTGCCGCGGTCCAAGTCGTCACGGCAGCGGACGCCCCAGTTGCGGTCCTCGGTCTGGAAGACCTGGAGGCGAACTCTGATACCTCTCTGGACCAGGCGGTTCTGACAGTGAGAGCGGTCGCAGCCGCACCACGGTCCACATTCATACAACCTGAAGGAGGAGGACACGTCATCTCAGCAGCTCGTTTTCCTCGACTGATTCGTTTTGAACAGCCTTCAGGTGTTTCCTCACCCTGACGGTACAGGCTCCAGCAGCCGGTGGTGACTGTAGCCCCGCCCATCTGTCACCATGGCGATGCAGGCGCAGCGGTCAGCGTCCCGGCAGCCGTCGTCGCAGTCGCAGCAGACCCGGAACAGCTTCGGCCCGCGGCTCAGAAAGCAGCCGTGCGGCCAACGGTCCTTCCTGTAACGAAAGTCCGAGGGCCGGGCGCCGTCTTCCCCGACGCACAGCTCCACCAGCGTCGGCTCCGCCCCCCGGCTCAGGTCCTCCTCTAAACGGGGCTGACCCGGCGTCAGGGCAGGGTCCAACCGCACCAAGGGGTTAAAGGTAAAACAGTCCACCTGCAGCAGGAAGAAGACAGGTGGGACGTGTTTGTAGAGTTGTTCATAGAGCACTTCATGTTCTATTCTAATTCTTCTGGTTTGAATTAAATGTTTGCAACAAGCTTCAAGAGTTAGGTGTTCAATTCAGCAAAACAATAGCTAAAAGATAAAATGGGTTAAAATAAAAGCTCCAATCATTTGAATAAAAATCATAAATGTTGTACTTCTTCCAGTTATTTAACTGTCATCAATGGTGTACCACAAGGCTCAGTCTTAGGGCCCACCCTCTTTACAATCAACTTAAGTAATGTAGGTCAGATCATTCCTGACGCATCTTTACATTTCTATGCCAACATAAGTTGTTTATTGTTGAGCTAAATCAGTTCATTCAACCTTCATTTATACAGGTTAGTCTCCTTGAGCCTCGAGGACTCATTTACAAGTGAGACCTGATTCAAACAAAGAACACAGATGAGGTACAGATAACAATAGACAATCATATAAAAGCATAAAATGTAAAGTAAATAGAAGAAATTATTTAAAAACTAAACAGAAGCAACTACATTATAAAGCGATGTAAAATACTAAAAACAGGAACATGTCTGTGTTGGTTTCTGCCATGAACTTAACAGATGTTTAAAATCCCTTAGAGAGGTCAAGGTCGAGAGCTTCAGATCTTTTTGTAAGATGTTCCAGGATACAAGAGCAGAGTAAGAGAATGCCCTTTTGCCAAGTTCGGTCCTCACTGAGGGAACACTGCAGGTAATTATGTCTTGAGAGCGCACGCTGTAGCTGCTAAGGTTTTCCAGCTTTTACAATCTGTATTCGACATCATCCAGTCAGATTTGTTCCGTATAAAACTGGTGCTAAACGCCGGTAAAACTAAAGGGATGTTGTTTTCAAACAGGAAGTCGGGACCAGCAGTTCTTCCTCCGATTGTATCCTCAATTTTTTTTTTTACCCTTTTATTTATACAGGTAGTCTCATTGAGCCACGAGAACTCATTTTCAAGAGAGACCTGTTTTAGGGAGCAGATGGGGGGTTAAGGGCCTTGCTCATGGGCCCAGAGTGGGGCGAATGAGGGTGGGGGCAAGTGTGGGTGCTTCACCTACCCCACCCACATTTTTGATGTTGTCGGTACCGGGGTGTGAACCGGCAATCTTCCGATCACAGGCCCGATTAGGGAATGGTGTCCCTATTGAGTTTGTCGATTCCTACAAATATTTGGGTATCTTGGTCGATTCAAATCTCTTTTTTAAGCTTCATGTGGAAAACCTAGTAAGGAAACTGAAAGTTAAACTGGGTTTCTTTTTCAGAAATAGATCCTGTTTAACTCTGAACGCTAGGAAACACCTTGTATCTGTGACTTTCATTCCCTTCATTGATTACGGTGACATTATTTACATGAACGCTCCTACAAGAACCCTGCAGATGCTGTCCATCATGGTGCGCCAAGATTCATAATTGGCTGTCACTACCGTACCCATCACTGCACCCAGTATCCACTGGTTAACTGGACATCATTAACTTCACACAGACTCTCTCACTGGTACATTTTCATCTTTAAATCACTTCTTGGTCTGTTGCCTTCATACATCTCCTCCTACATGTCTCTGCGTGAGTGCAACTACAGCGTGCGCTCTCAGGACATTATTACCTGCAGTGTTCCCTCAGTGAGGACTGAACTAGGCTAAAGGGCCTTCTCCTACTCCGCTCCCGTTTCCTGGAATATCTTACAAAAAGATCTGAATCTCTTGACCTTGACCTCTCTAAGTGGCTTCAAACATCTGTTAAGTTCATGGAAAAAACCAATGCAGACATGTTCCTTTTTTCTTGCGTCACTTTATAATGTAGCTGTTTTTATTTTTGTTTTATATCAATACTTTGATTTACTTTATTTTATATGCTTTTTGTAACTGTTTATTGTTGTTTGTACCTCATCTGTGATCATTTCGTTTAAAACAGGTCTCTCTTGTAAATGAGTCCTCGTGACTCAATGAAACTAAATAAATGTTGAATTTTTCAAAAACATATAAAATTGAACCGAAAGCAAAAGTTGCAGTACCCATCTTCTAACCGGGCTCAAAGTTCTGATGTCTGAATGGATAAAACAGCTGAAAATGTGCTGAAGTAGTTCACATGTCTCTGAGACGGACCTGCAGGACGTTGTAGCTGTCTGTGACAGACAGGAAGCACATCACGTCGTCATGGTTACGAAGACTTTGCCCACACGGTGCTTTGTAAATGACGTCCCAGTCGCCGTCGTCCTCCTCAGTCGTCTCGCCGTCTCGTAACGAAGTTATCAGTGGCATGGCGGTCAGCCTTTTGAAGCCGCAGAGCAGCGGCACCTTCAGAGGGTTCTGACCAAATAACGAGGAGGTGGACTGAGGCATTCTGGGTAAACCGGGTAGGCAGGCCTGGTGGGGGGTAGAGACATTACCTGAGGCGTGAGGTTTTCCTGGAGGAAGTTCATGCTTCTCCTGCACGTTTGTGACTCGTTTACCTTGCAGCAGATATGAGGGTGGTACTCCAACTGGACCGGAACCAGAGGAGGCAGCAGCTCCTCTCTGACAGCAGGAGGCGCCGCTGAAATGTTTGGTCCATTGAAGAGGCAGACGGGGGAGGCAGAGGAAGAGGAAGCTGTGGCGTGGTTGGGGGGGTCAGCCAGCAGCAGCTCACCTGCAGAAACAAACAACGTCATCACTTAGAAGTAATAACATCACAAACACACGTCCAGACCCATGCTTACCTGAACCGATGACCACCTGGACCACTGACGAGTCCTGGTCCTGATGGGGGTCTGAGGAGGAGGAGGAGTCCAGACACTCCAGCAGCCTCAGCGCCTGAACATATTCTGATGGAAACAACACAAACATCACAACAGAAATCACATGTCACTCCACTCAGACCAGCCAGGACGGAGTCAGCACCTTTATCTGTGGCAGTCTTCCTCTGCAGGACCCTCTTCAAGTGGTCCAGGTATTCAAAAACCCCACTGAAAGCCTGATCCACATCCTCCTCGGCCCAGAAGGTTTTGGCCCGTTCTGCAGAACAAAAGCACAAAAAAAACAATCATGTAGAAGAGAAGAGACCTAAGAACACATCCTTGTGGAACGCCTCACACAGTCTGTGGTGTCCATCCAGCTCTAGTTTTTTTTATTTTTTATTAAACCAGAATAAGCAGTGACCCAGTTTGTCTGAGCGTGCGTGAGCTCCGTGCGAGCAGTTATTTCTTACCCACGTCGCGTGGATCCAGCGTGTCTTCCATTATCATCCCAGACTGATAGCTGTAAGCTAGCTCAAATAAAAACACTGAGCTAATCCTAAAGTAAAACAGAAGTAGACGGACTAATTAACTAATGAACTAGTTTCATCAAACTCGAGTCGCCATTTTGAATTTTTTTTTAATTACCGGTAAATCTGGATTTTATTCATTTAGACTCGTAGCTGCTAAGCTAACTGATGCTAACGAAGAGCTAAAATATTAAAGTCTCAACGAGCAGCGTTGAGACTTCACACCGTAAAGTATATGACGGAAAGTTTTAAAAAGTTAAATTAGCTCTGCTCTAATAGAAACTGCGCTCTATTTTTGGGCTGTTGTTAGTCTTTATTGGTCCACAGCGGTTGCCGTAGATTTAAAAAGCGTATTATGCCCTTTTCTCGGTCTGCCAGGCGATACAAGTTAAAGCATCGAAAAACTGTTCGGGGTGAACAAAGTACTTATAAAATCAATTAAATACACTTATTATCAATTACATTAAGTCAATACTCCTAATTCTTCAAGTGATTAATCTATAAATTAGTTACGTTTAGAAAAATGCTCCAATCATAACAAGATTTGGATTTTCCAAAAATTTCCAGGAGTCACATAAGAGCAGTTTTAATAATTGTAAATAAACTCGACTGTTTAAACGTTATGATTTTGAAATTTTATTACAAAATGAGTTTGTGGGTTTAAAAAAAATAAAACTTGTACTGTTTTGTAACTAAAGAGTAAAGATGTGCATTCTGTAAGTCAAAACTCAGGACGTTAATATTTGAATTGAGCCTCGTAGCGCACCGTACGCAGGTTTACAGATGAAAATAAATAATCATGGGGCGCTTGTATAATATAGTTTTATATGAAAACAATGAGTGGATAAAAGGGAGCAGCCTGTCCGGAAACAAATTGCGACTTTTACTGCTTTTAACGGGAGCTCTTTGATCTCACCGCAAAGAATCAGCTGTTGATCACTTCCGGTTCGGTTTCGTAACAGTTGGATAAGAAACTTGACGCTTATGTACGAGAGGTGTCAAAGATCGAACAAGTGAGGGGTTTTATAACAGGTACTCTATTTATTTTACTGTAAATAATATGTTTATTTATCTGCTTGTTTACAACAATCAGCCAGAACATTATAACCATAACCCAAAGAGTCAGCTTTAAACAACACTGGCTCACCCCTTGGGTCATGTATGAATTACTTCCTCTGGGGATGCTCAGACAAAAAGGACTGAGTATGAGAGGCACGAATATCCAAACAAAAACTTTGGAAAATTCTTGAAGTTCTGGAAAACTGATGATTAAAAACCACTTTATCAGATTCCAGGAACTTCTAGATCCTTGAAGCGAAAGAAGCAAAGACCAGGGGTTTAAGATGCCACTTGTGATTATTAGAAGTTGGCAGAGATCATCTGTGGTGATAGTAGGGTGCAGGTGGAAGAGAGTCTGGAGAGAAGAGGTTGGTGATGAAAGGGGAGTGTGAGATCGAGGCAGATGATTCATTATAGACGCCTAAAAGGGACAGCCTGAAGAAGAATCTACGATTGTTAATTCAGGAGGTTTATGTGGTGTCATTAAAATATATTTTTATTTTTATGACTCTCCTCACCTCCATATTTTTTTCCGCTCGTTCCTCAAGTCTGATGAAACGCTGATGTCCGAGATGTCTGTGGTTCAGCGGCCAGCGTGTGAGGCCTTCTGGGCGATGTGCGCAGCTGACTCCATGTCCATGCCGGTCCACTGGTACTACGATATCCTGGACATCAGGAGGGACTTTGGAGGCTGGATCTCAGGCTTCAACTCGCCTGCAAACAGACACCCGTCCAGCATCTTGGCCCTGTCCAACACCGGTACAACTACTTCACTCATCCAGTCCACTTTCATCCCTAAAACCTGTAAAATGGCAAAAGTACTGTATTTATAGAACTAGTTTTATTTATCAAATTGTGTTTAGCCTTACACTATTCATGTGAATAAGCCTGATTTAACGCCCCAACTTCAACCACAAATTGAGCTAAACTCACTTTTATATGTTTGAAGAATCATTTCAGTCAAAAGACCAAAGAAGAAGAATTTTTATAAAATTTTATTATCATCAATCCCATCTTACAGGTTTACCCGTGTTTACCTCTGATTATTTGAAATAAACACAAGCATCATTTAAAAAAATTGTTTTTACTCAGAATCATTCCTATGTAGAAGAGAAGAGACCTAAGAACACGTCCTTGTGGAACGCCTCAATGATTAATGTTGCCGTTATTGTTTGTTGTGTTCTAGCTGGAAGCGGTCGGACTGCCTGGTCCACCAGAACCAAATCAGCAGATGTTGTCGGTAACGTCATCCTTCATGACAAGCTTGACTTGTGGAAGTCCTCCAACGGCTTGGCCCATTACCACCAAGGTACTGAAAACAAGTTATGAGATTTTAAACAAAAAAATTTGTGGTTTTGTATAAACATCTTTTTCTCGCTTGTTTTATGTGTCCTTGCTCTTATTCTCTGCCTCTTTGTGGTCACTGCGTGTCATTTAAAAGTAGTTTTGTGTGTCTGTTATTTCATGCCTCTGTGTTGCGATACCAACTCTTTGTTGTGTATTTTTGTCTCGTACGGTGGTTGTTGATAGTTTTTGGTATCCATATCCCGTGTAGGTCTTCAGGCCGGTGACAACACTCTGAACATCCTCTGTTCCCTGAGAGCAGCTCGGACTCTCACCCACGGACGTTTTAGTGACGTCTCCCAGCCGGACGCTCGAGCCGCTGTCCTGTCAGACTACATCCACTTCCTGACCACGCCCGGCTCCCACGCAGACACCTACGCTGAGTCGTTCCACCGGTCGTTCTTCGCCGACTGGCAGGACAGCAGACCGACGTCTCCCCGTGAGGTGAAACAAGCACTCCTTATCCAGCCGCTGGAAACCAGGTGTCACATCTGTCCCTGCTTATAGGACTTCCTGCACTCTTCAGGTTCTGATCTTTGCAGAGGAACGTTCCAGACGAATGCTGAGCTCTCAGTTTCCTGACAGCCAGCTGGACGCCATCGGCTGCCTTCCCATGATCCTCCCCTTCGTTCTGCTGTCAGCCAATGTGGAGCAGGCTGTGAGTGAACATAGACCAGATTCATCTGAAATGAGTCTCATCTCACCTTTAACGGTCTCTGTGTTCAGGTGTCGGCAGCAGTGGAGTTTGTGAAACTCACCCATCCTCACCCCAACGTGCCGAAGTATGTGTCCACCTACGCCCAGGCGCTGCACGCCGTTCTGGGTGGCGCCAGCCTCCGCCAGCAGGCCGAGCACGCTTTGAGGACATTGGACGCCTGGGACACCTGCCAGAGCTTCAGCAGCAAGGCTGCCAGGTCTGACAGAACTGGGTCGAATGGTTCTAGATCTCAATAAACTTAATGAGAAACGTCAGGTTTCATTGTTGGGGATATCGATTCAAACAACATCCTTACAACTCCTTCGCAACAAAGGTTAATCATAAGAGTATTCTTTTAGAGCCGTTAGAGTTTTCAGCAAAACACCAGCTCCTTCCATCAAGCAAATACGAGCTTTTCACATTATTTTCTGCGAAACATCGTCTTTTGAAAGCTGTTAAATTATGGGCAATGCACATTGATACATGAAGACCCAAACTAACAAAATATGTTCTCACGTGACTCGGGTACAAAATATGTTCTCACGTGACT